TACTTAATATAAATAAACATTTTAAAAGCATTTGTAGTAAGTTTGCATCAGTTAACATCCAAACGCAGTAGTTATTAGGTACTATAATAAATGTCCTGAGAAAAATTGGCAACAAGAGGACTGGAGATTGGGGGGTGGGGGTGGGATTAGTTTAGTTTGGGGTAGAATAGGTACTGCTGCACACCTTTTCTTGAAAAACAGGTTGGAGTGATTCCAGTGTCACTTTTATTTTTTGGTTTGGGGGCACACCCAGAAGTCCTCAAAGGCTACTCCTGTCTTTTGCTCAGGTATCATTCCTGGTAGGGTCAAGGGGCCATATGGGGTGCCAGGGATTGAGTTTGGGTTGGCTCACATGTAAGGCGAGCACCCTCCTGTACTCTCTCTGATCCTTTTGGGTGTTACTCTTGCCTAAACAGTCATTTCAGAGCTGATTATTTGGTTCTAAGATCACTGCCCCTTTTGCTCCAAATTACAGCTACACTTGGGTATATCATTGTGTTACTCTTGAAACAAAAATGCTTTGAGAGAATTGACTCCAGTTTGGATAATGTTCACATTATTTTAATTAATTTAATTAATTTACCCAATAATAATTTATAATAACTCTATTCTACAATACTTTGTGATCCAGTGGTAATAGTGGCCATGGGTAGCAAATGTGAACTAGAATTCGAATGGCCTGGGAATTGTGGTAGTTAGCAAGAGGTTCTGCTAGATGGACCTAATGAATCTGTTCACAGAATCTTCCTGATCTGTGCTTGGTTCGTCCTTGGGAGAACTGTGGTGGAATTGTGGGGGTTTTCTGGCTTTTTTTTCTATTATTTTTTTTTAGTATAACACATTTTATTTGGAAGTTTTGAGGAATAGGTGGGGAGGCGAATAACATGCTCAAGAGAGAACGTGAGCTTCTCCAGAGTGGAGAGAGAGCCCCAGTATACATCCCAGCATTAGAAATGAAAGTATAAAAGTGCACATCTCAAGAGGGGACACGAGGGCAACATGGGCACAGGCGGCACATAGGCTCTGGCAGCATATGCGTGCACTGGAAAGTTTTTATTTCTGAGGTTTTTTTTTTTAAGACCAAATGAGTAGCTCAGTTTAATACTTTACGAAAATGAAGTTAGATTGACAGTGTAACACTTAATTTTTAAAAGAAAAAGTTGAAATAATAGAAGTTTTAATGGCACACTATGGTATCTCAGTACCCGAGATTTTACTGAAGCATGAAGCATGGAGAAATGAGAAAATGATGGAGAGGCCTTTTTTTTAAAGAACCATCTTTGGGTCTGATGTTTTCCAACTTTTGGGGTTTTGTTTTTGGTTGACATCTGGTGATGCTCAGAGGTTACTTCTGGCTCTGCACTCAGAAATCATTCCTGGCAGTGCTCGGACCATATGGGATGCTGGAGATTAAACCCAGGTCATTTGTATGTAAGGCAAGTACCTTACCTCCTGTACGATCTCTCCAGCCCCAATTTTCCAACTTCTGTAAAAGTACATTTCAAGATTCACATACACAATATTAATAACTGAAGATTTTAAGAGCTAGTAGTCTTCAGAGGAATTGTGTGTTCTGCAACTTACTATGCTAGAAGTTTTTTGTTTGCTGGCAGGGTTGGGGGACTATTCCCAACTCTGTTCTGGGATCTCTACTGGCAATACTTTAGAGAATAATGCAGTGCTCAGGATCAACCCAGGGTCTGCCACATGCAAAGCAAGTGCCTTAAGCCCTACACTCTCTCTCCAGCCTCACTATGCTGTTATGGTTTTGTCTGGATTTGGGGAACCACACCTGACTGTGCTCACAGCTCACTCCTGTCAGGGCTCGGGAGACCATGCAATGCCAGGGAATAAAACCCAGGTAAGACAAGCACATTACCCACTTTATTATCTCTCCAGCTCCTATGCTAGATGTTTTTTATTTGTATTTATTATAACCAAAACACTAGATGCATATTTTTGGTTTGGGGGACCATAGACAGCTGTGCTCAGGGCTTGCTCCTGGCTCTGTGCTCAGTGATCACTCCTGGTGGGCTCAGGTGACTATTTGGGGTGCTGGACATCAAAGTGGGGTTGGCCATGTACAAGGCTAGCACCCTGCAACTGTGCTGTTGCTCCAGCCCCTCATTTTATTTTTTATAGGAGTTACATTCATAGTACTAGGGAGACCATGAACTCAGGGCCTTGAACATACTAGGCTTTTGTTTCACTACTTGAGCCATGTTCCTGACCAAGAGATCTTTTTTCTTTTTTAAAAAATTTACTTTAGGCACCAGGGTTTACAATACTGTTAATGGTAGTATTTCATGCATAACACATCCTCAGATGAATTTTCTTGTCCCCTTTTTATGGATTAGGAAACTGAGTCATAGTAACCTGCCCATAGGCACATAATTTAGGAATGAATGGAACCAAGACTTAATCACTCAGATTTCAACTATAATATAGCCCACCTCTTTAATGAAGCTTTCTCTAAATATATGTAATATTAGCAATTTCTACCCAACTTTTTCCCCAGCTTTTTAAAAAATTTTAATTTTATAGTTCACAATAACATTTAATCTTCAGACAACAATCCCACCACCATTGCACCTTCCCCCACCATAATTCAACCCCCACCCCATCAAATGTTGTGTGCTACTCTTGGTACATCAGTGGTATAGAGTATGAGAGGTCATGCAGCCACAAATGTGGCCATGTGCTGCAGGAATTCTAAAATTTAGAATACAGCAGATTCACTCGTGGGTGAGGCCATTGATGAGATTATATTGCAACAGGGGCAGTTTGTGGGCGTGAATGCCAAGCTCCTGGTAAACTAGGGAGATGGGAAGAGGAGGCCCATTTCCCCTCAAGCTCGAGTGAGCTTGGAGATTTCAGTCACAGGTCCCACACACCTGGGATTTTCTGCAGATTCACTCATGGTTGAGTCTCGTCCAAGCCTGTGGAGAGTGGCTGTGAGCATGTTGGCAATTGAGTTCTGGAGTCTACCCAACTTTTTATCAGCATCTTGTGAACTACGTCATTTTCTGCTCAAACTACTCCTGTATCATAAATACAGAAACACAAAATTTTTTGGTTGTCTCCATTTGTTAAAGGTTTTTTGAGGTTGTTTTTGGATCACACCCTACCCAGTGTACTATAGCTCCAGTCAGTTAAAAGTATTTCAAGTCTCTGACATCACTATTCTATTCTAAGGCAGTCTTTAAGAAATTAGTATTTGCTAAGATATCAAAATCCAAAGGCAGTTAACCCATCAGTTTCCCATTTCAAAAGATGAAAGACCTTATACCGCTGCCCTTCAGTTTGCTGGGCTGTACTGACATCATAGGCGCCCAACAAAGAGCATTTTGCTTTATAAGGCATAGGTGCTACTACATCTGAGGCAGTGTGAGTATCAGCTGTGGTGGAAACAGGGTAAGAATATAGTTCTAGATTTCTTTGGTAAGCACTAGAACTGAGTAAGTAATGAACACATAAGAGCTGAGAAATTGAAAATCAAAGCTGATGTGCTATCAGGTCACAGGATGCTAGAAAGGGCTTCAGTACCTCGGGCATGAAAGAGGTATGAAAGGTCCACACAAGTCTCTGTGATAAAAGTAACTTGTTCGTTTGGTAGGCTCTAAAGTTTTTGTTTCTAGGGCTGTAAATGACTGTGCTCAGGGCTTACTCCTGAGCACAGTTCTGCACTCAGGAATTACGGTAGAGCTTGGGGGGGGGACTATCTGGGGTTCTGGGGATTGAGACTGGGTCAGCAGCATGCAAGACAAGCACCCTATTCATGGTACTACCTCCTCAGCCCCCTAAACACGTTTGTGTCATTTCTTCTTAAGAACCATGTCCTTGTGCTCAAAGGAGGGAGCGAATAGTCTGTTTTGACCTGTTTCCTTAAAGCCAAATTGTCTTATTTTTTTTTTTCCCATCAGTTTCATTTTTCTTTGGCATTATAGGCAGAAAAGGAGGATGTTAACAGCCATTTAATAAGTTACTTGATCAGTTAACACCCTCGCTGGATCTATTTGCTGTGTTTTTGATGAGTTTATTCACTAGAAGTTGATTTTCCGAATTAAGCCATAATAATAATAATAATAAAATCCAAGTACTATTCTGTGGCTCAGCCTTGAGTCCTAGAGAGGGGTGATTCCTGAGCGCCAAGCCAGGAGTAACCCCTGTGCATCGCCGGGTGTGACCCAAAAAGCAAATTGTCTCCCTCATCACTCGCTCTGGGGTGAGGCCCGGGCCACTCTGTTTCCCCGATCATGGGGATCAATGACCAACCCCGAGGGTTTTTTTGGGGGGGTTCCGAGAAGTAGCGGACGAGAGAGAAAGTGGGCCCACCGTCTCCTTCGGCCAGCTGGTGGTCGTACACCAGCGTGGCCCGGATGTAAACATCCCAAGGAGCCCGACCTCGATTAGCCGTTTCCTTCGCGCACGGCGCTCTGACTGCTGCCCGCTGCTGATTGGCATCTCCCCAACTCCAGCTCGCCCGAAGTTCGCATAAAACGAGCGGACGGCGCTCCCTCCTGCCGCCTCCCAGACAGCGTCCGCAGCCCCTCGAGGCCCGGTCCGGAGTTAGGAAGGGGCAACAGGTGGGGGCCGCTCTCCCATCTCCGCGCCCAGCCTTCCAGCTCCTGTGGCCATCCGGGGGACCACACTGACCCGGACCCGGTTCGCCAGCCCTGAGGGCCCATGCGGCGGGGCGGGGGGTGGGGTGGGGGGGCGTGGGCGTGTTTGCTGGAGGACGCCCTCTTCCTCCGGCCGCGCAGAGCCCGGGTAAGCCTCCCGAGGCTGAGCGTGGCGGGGAAGCCGGCTCTCAAGTGAGCGCGGCCCAGCGCGCCGGACTCACACGCCGGGCGGCCGGGCTCGGCGGCGGCTAGACGCTCCGGTGCGCGCGCGTGCGCGCGTGTGCGCGCGTGTGTGTGTGCGGGGAGGCGCGCGCGCGCGCGCCGCACGGGCTGCCGGGAGGCCGCCGCTCCCCTCACGGTCTTCCAGTTTCCCGGCGTGCTCCGGGCCCGCCAAATGGGAGGGGGAGACGCAAGATGGCGGCAGCCGCGAACTCCGGCTCCAGCCTCCCGCTGTTCGACTGCCCGACCTGGTGAGTGGCTGGGCAAGCGGGGCCGGAGCGGCCCGGCCTGCGCCGGCCTGGACCGCAGGGGCGGCCGTTTGCTCGCGACGAGCCGAGGGGCGCGGAGCCCGCGGTTTGATGGAGGGAGGATTGCCCGTGGGGCCGGGCGGCGTGCGGAGGAGCGTGAGCCTGGAGCCCGGGCCCAGGAACTGAGGGGACGCCAGCGTTGGGGGGCTCCGGGGCGCCCGTCTGGGCAGCCCGCGGGCCCTCCGCCGGCGTCCGGGGCGTCCGGGGGGGTGGCCCCGAACTTACCCCAACTCTGGACGGAGCGCGGGGTGCTGGCGTGCAGCAGCGTCCCTGCCCCCCGCTCCTGCCCCCCCCCGCCCGATGCCCGTCCCGCGAGCGCGCGAGCCCGCTTTCCGCGCCCCCCGGCCCCAGCCCGCCGCCCCGCGTCGGGTGGTCGCCGAGCCGGCGGGAGGGGTGAGGCCGCGCCCCGCACCCCGGGCGCGTCCCCCCTGGGGGCCTGGGCTCGAGGGGGAGCCCAGGGTCCGCCTCGCGGGGAGGCGCGCCCCGGCATGTGGCCCCTGGCTCTCCTTCCCCGGAGCCCTCAAGGGCACGCGGGCTGATGAGCCTCCGCGCCCCGCGAGCCCCGAGCGCCGGCCTGGGGGCGGCGGGCACCATCCCTCGGCCCTGCTCTCCGGCGAAACGGGGCTTTTTGTCCGACACTTCGTCCTTCCGGCCGTGGAGGGGTGGGGGGGGGGCTTCGGGGTGTGCACGCATCGGAACTGGGGCTCCTGCACCGGACCCGAGCACGAGTCGTCGTCGGGAACGCGGGACTCTGGGCTGCACTGGGGGGCGTTCTTGCAAGTCTGTGCCCCCCACCCCCCTGCACCGCGGCTGCGTGCGTGGCGGGCAGGAGTTGACCCAGGACTTGAGTTGCAAGAGCCCGAGATCCCTGCCTTGTCGTCACGTTGCCGTGGTCCAGCTTCTGTGCAAGGCGCCTCGACGTCACTGTTGTGTCCGGCGTCAGTGGGGTAGGACCCCGAGAGAAAGTTCCCTGAAACATGGCATTTGTGAAAAGGACTCGCTCAGGGGAACTCGTGTCTCGTGTTTTATTCAGGACCTGGGTTCTGGGCCTGGTTTTTTGTATTCTTCCTTGGTTCAGCGCATCTGTATTGGACCTAAGACAGGGCACTGCTGCTTCTGTGATGAAACTAGGTGATGGGTCCTAGTACAAACCTAGAGGTGCACTTCTACCTGTGTCGTGTCTGTGGTAGTGACAGGTGCTTGGTCCAGTCTCCAAGTGACAGCCTCCCCAGGTGGTAGTACTTGCACACACTCTCTGCTGCTTTCTCTCTCAGGTAGATGGATCCCCAGAATCGAAAATACAGGCTTCTTGGTGCTGCTCTAAATTCAGTCACTCGGATCTGTTTGAGAGCAATTGAATCACTGGGGAAGTTAGTGTCAAACGTAGAGAGGAGCTGTAATAACAGTGAAAGTAGATGACATTTCTACTTGAACATGAACCTAATTATAGTCTAGTAGGAGAGCTTGCAATTGTGAATGGGACAGGGATTGCAAATGGCCTTTATGAACTTGTTCTTAAAATCCTTTTTTCCTTTGAATTTTCAGGGCAGGTAAACCGCCACCTGGTTTACATTTGGATGTAGTCAAAGGAGACAAATTAATTGAGGTATGGAAATTCATGTCTTCCTTTTTCCCATCACACTAAAGGTTTTTGCCAGTGACTATCTTTTCCACCCTGTCTCCCTTGCTTTGTTTTCCAGCAATGCCATTTTCGTTCATTTTTATTTTTTTCTTTTCAAAGCTCATGATGATATAACACATTCAAGCTGCTTATCTCCCTGCTATCCAAGATTTTTATGTGATTTCTTTCACCTTCCAAATGAAGGATTTTAGTAGACCGTGGGCCTCTGGCTCCCATCTTGCTGAAATCCCTGTAACTTGGTGAATTTCTTCTCCCAGGGGACACGGATGTGTGTGAAAGATACAAGATTCGAAATAACTTAAAAAAGAAAGTGGGTAATGTAGTTTGAATTTAACTTGTAAGTTTCATTTATGAGATTTAAGCCCAAGCCCTTCAAAGAAATTGTTTCAAAAAAGATAATGAAATTGCTTTTGATTGGAACATGCTGAATGCTTACCAGTCATTGTACTTGGCATAGGGACTGCTATAGTAAACAAACAACATGATCCATTTTTTTCCCCAATCAGTTTTTATTGAGGTATCGTAGATTGCAAGAGTATGGATAGTATTGTCTAATATTTGCGGTGCTGTTCTATCATGCCTGCCACCCAGAGTTTTCAGATCCTCCCACCATTATTTCAAAGGATCTATCCCATACCGCACTAGCATCCTTGGTTCATGGTTTTGTTACAAACATAATTCTTGTCCTGAGAGCAGTCATCTGATGGGAAATAAAGTCACATAAAAAGTGACATGATTAAGGGCTTGAGGGATAGTGTAGTGGACAGGGTGCTTGCTTTGCACTCGGGTTCAATCCCAGCATTCTGTATGGTCCCCCAATAACCTCCTGGAGTAATACGTGAGTTCAGAGCCAGAAGTAAACCCTGAGTACTACTGGGTGTGGCACAAAAACATACATGGTTATGATTGAAATCAATATGAGAATGAACAGTCACAGAAAATTAATATAATGTGGATTTTGATTTAGCTGTTAGGCTTGGGGGGTTTTTTCCTCCTTAACTTTTACAAACCATTTATTTACCCAAAATTGATATTAAACCACTATGATCTTTTTATGTCTCAGAATAACTTCATGCTTGTTTACTCAGAATTTGCATTAACATCCTCATTATCATTAAGCACAGTTTTTATTTTTTTGTTAGATACAATTAAAAACATTGCATTCCTCTGTTGAAAAGCTATTTGTGAGATTTAATAAATGTTCTGAAAATGTGTAAAAATTAATGCATAAGTTATTCCTTAGTCACTGTAGCTTTGTCATGAGTTTTTCATTCTTAAAGTTCACAAGATTATTCATGGAAATGATTTAACTAAAATCTTTGTAAAACCTTTCTTACTGTAGGCTATTTCATTGATAGAAAACATTATTGCTAAATGGTCTGAAACTGAGATACATATGATACATCTATTAGTAATTTTGTTACTACAATTTGGTAAACCTTTAGCTTGCAATGGAAGAAATGTATCCAGCCTTAATGATAATATATGCCATTGTGGAATAATTTGTATTTAAAAAAACTCATCTGACATCTCACTGATTACTGGCTTTCACTAACTGATAATATTTTCAGTCTTTCAGTGTTCTACAGTGTCAAAAGTTGACACCTGAGTTTCCATAGTTGTCAAAGTTACAAAGTTCCTTAGATATCTCTGTCTTATTTCTGAGATGAATAGACCTAAGATTTGCTTTATTTTAAGGATTTGGGTAGCACTTGATACTAGCCGAGCTATCTGTGTCCTAGCCTTGATGAAAGGCTTGTGATATGATGTGATAGCTGGGTTTAAAAAGTGCAATATTAAAACAACAGCCATGAGTCTTTTAAGCCCAGTGTGTAAAGATACACTCTGAGTTATAACTCACAGGTACAACTGGCTAGTAGTACTAGTTGTAGCTAGTCAAATGTGGCTTTTAGTAACTAAAGACAGGCTCATTATTTCATTTAATTGCTTAGAAGTACGTTATTGAACAATTATAAGATATACTTTTCTTAATCTTTCTGTAATATGCCTTTACAAGTTAATGTACATATTTAATTTGAAGTCTTAATTTTTTTTTTCTAAACATTTAAATCTCTGTATGACTGGGGGCTGGAGAAGATAGCACAGCGGGTAGGGCGTTTGCACGGCCGACCCGGGTTTGATTCCCAGCATCCCATATGGTCCCCTGAGCACCGCCAGGAGTAACTCCTGAGTGCAGAGCCAGGAGTAACCCCGGTGCATCGCCAGGTGTGACCCAAAAAGCAAAAAAAAAAAAAATCTATGACTTTGGCACCTTGAAGTCTGAAATTTGACCAATGTTGTATCCTAGCAGACTTACATACTGTTGATCCTTGAACAGCAATGGGATTTGATTTTTGTGTTTGTTTTGGGACCACAAGCAGCAATGTCCAGGCATTATTTCTTGCTCTGCACTCAGGAATTACTCCTGGGAATGGCTTAGGGAACCATATCGGATGCCAAGGATTGAATAGGTTCACTGCGTACAAGATAAATACCCTACCCACTATACTATTGTACGATTATACTATTGCTCCCTATTTCAAATAGGGATTTGAAATGCACAAATCTCCATGTGGGGTTTCTTTTGAAAAGGTGACTTAGTGTCAGTAAATAGTTTGCTTATGGCTTTCTAAGTAATATTTTCCCTTTTTTCTTCTTTAGTGTAAAATTACAGTATATAGAGGCTCAGCTGGCAGAGATTTACAGTGTTGGAGATGTGGGTTTGATGCCCAGTAGCACATGATTTCCCCAAGCACTGAATTGGGACTGGCCCCTGTATAACACAAACAACAACAACAACAAAATACAGTATATAAAGCACATAGAGGACTGGAGTGTTAGTACAGCAGGTAGGGCATTTAGGGCATTTGCTTTGAACCCAACCAAGTGAAGTTTGATTCCTGGCATCCCATATGGTTCCCTGACCACTGCAGGAGTGATCCCTGAGTGTAGAGCTAAAGGTATCCCTTGAGTATTGCTGGGTGTGGCAAAAAAAAAAACATGGCATAAAAATTATGTGTTATAAAAATTTGTAAGTCTACAACTGTACCTCATGGTGTTTCACTAATAAAAATTTTAAAAAATATGTGTTAATCAGCTATGTTATTGATAAGCTTTCTCATCAAACCACGCTGTTCAGTTTGAGAGGAGTCAGAGTTACACAAAGATTTTCAGCTGGCACTATGGAGATTACTGTCCCTAACCTCCACATTAAGGATCTTATTGTCTTCCTTGAGACCAATTTGTGAATGCTTTGGCTAGCAAGTTTCAATGGGTGGGAACATCATATGTGGACTATTAATATGATGAGAAATGACAGTGAGAGTCCATTTGCATAGATTATTACCTAGAGAGACAAGATGTTGGTATTTCAGAGCTCTCTCAGTTCCAAAATATGTCTCCTCCTTTTTCTCACAGCCCAGTCTGTGGGCGTTGAACCCAAGATGTCACACATGCAAGGCAGATACTCTACCATAGACACATATCCCAGGCAGGCCAAGCATGTCTTACTTTTAACCCAGATTTAAAACTTGGGTCTAAGCAGACATGAGAAGATTGTCTGACTGAACTATCAGGCTATGAAAACTTGGTTCACTGTGAGTCATAGCAGTATGGGACTTGGCTGCCAACACAGGTGGGTACTGATAGTCAGGGTTTTCCAGAGGTGACCACCCACATACCTAGACTGGATTGATTTTTTTTAAATTTATTTTTATAAAGTTGTTTACAATAATTTGTTATATTTAATATTCCAACACCAATCCCACCACCATGTTTCAAATGTTTTCATCCTAACCCCCAAGCCCTGCCCCCGAAGCAGGACCTAAATAATTTATTTTGTATTACTTGTTATGAATAATCCACTAAAAATGATCTACAAAAGTTTCTTTAGAGGAAAGTGTGTGAGGATTTTTGTATTTCACCCTGGAGCCAGTAAGCCCTTGTATAAGAAAAGATTACTAGCATGTTGTTAAAAGTTGAGCCTTGTGTACTTGCTAATTTTTTTTTCTTTTCCTCCCTGAGATTGGTTGCCTTCTACTTTACACCCCATCAGATTGTTATGCTACTCTTGGTACATCAGTGGTGTGGAGTATGAGATGTTGCAAACCCAAGGGTTCTAAAATTTTAAATATGGTTATACGGTTATATAGCTGAGGTTAATTTATTTTTATTTTTTTAACTGGATGATGACTTTGGGATCCAGAGGCGTCTCTGTGGCATATTGTTCTGTATTGCTCTCTTTTGAGAGATTTTCTGAATCTCTGGATCATGGCCGTTAATGAGTTTATATGGTGCCAGAGGCAGTTCCTGGGCGTGCCTACCAGACTTCTGGAAGCACAGGGAGATGGGAGGAGGTCGCTCATTACCCACTCCCTTCAACCTCGAGATCTCATAGACTGGATCGATTTAATTGAACCTTAAGGCTAAGCCTGAAAGGAACTTGAAAAGAACAAGGGAAGGGGCTGGAGTGATAGTACAGCAGCTAGGGCCTTTGCCTTGCTTGCGGCAGACCCGGGTTTGATTCTCAGCATCCCATATGGTCCCCCAAGCATCACCAGAAGTAATTACTGAGTGTATGAGCCAGGAGTAACCCCTGAACATTACTGGGTGTGACCCAAAAAGAAAAATGAAATAACAAGGGAAGTGATTGTTTAAATAAAAATCATTGGGGATGTACTTAAATGGTAGACTCCTCTTGCATGTGTGAGGCCCTCAGTTTAATCCTGGATATCACCCAAAAAATGAAATACTTTCTGGTGCAGGTAGAATAAGGAAATATATGATATGTAGTGATTAAACAATCAGGGCTCTGATATAAGACAGACCTGGCTTGCCAGTTCAGTTTATCTACCTGTATAAATTTGGATACTTCAATTTCTTTATGCCACCTCAATATTTTCAGCTATAAAAAATAGAAATGGTAGTACCAGCCTAGCTACATCCTTCCAGAGCAGTTGTGAGGGTGAAATAGCATAGCATAAATTCACAGTTGGTATGTGACTCAAGTATGTTATTATTTTCTGTTCATGAGGCTTATTTTTGGTTATGTAAGAGGAATACTAAAACATAGGGAGACAAGTAAATCATTGTTAGTTCAATAGTATAGCCAGAAATTCAATGTAAGCCTCTTGGTTCCATCTTGCTAACATACTAACTTGACTGTCCTTTCCACATATCTGTGAAATATTATTAGTATTATAATGTAAAATATGTGCTTGGGGCTTAATAAACCTTATATTTAAAGAAAAAATTTAAGTGATTGAAAGTGATCAGATTATAGACTTTTAGAACTTAAATTCATCCGGAATCCTCCATCTACAACCACCATATCTGCAACTAGTCTGTAGCAAAGACTTTATGATCTAGGATCGAAGAAAAAGAAGGTACTGGGGTGATGCTAGTACAGTGGGTAGAGTGCATGCCTTGAAGGTAGCCAACCCAGGTTTGATCCTTGGCACCCATACTGCTCCCCAGCACCACAAGGAATGATTTTGAGTGGAGAACCAGGAGTATGCCTTTAGTCTCACCAGGTGAAACTCCAAAATGAGAGAGGGAGGGAGGGGGAAAAAGGAACCAGGAATGCATCTCGAATTTAGAGTATATGTCTTGCATGTATGAGACTTTGGGTTCAACCCCAGCACCACAAAAGTAAAGAAAGAAATAAGAAAAGGGACAGGGTGAGTAGTGAGTTATCATAAAGTAAACTTTGACTCAAAGAATGATTCTCCTTCCCCTTCCTATTTTTAGCAGAAAATACGTAGGAAGATGATTATGGTGATACTAATTAGTGACTGTCTAAAAAGTAAAAAGTTTTGGGAAAATAGAAAGTTAGTGATGCTCAGTCCCTTCTCCCACCACAGAATTTTGATTAACAATTTGCTGGTCTGTGAAATCCTCTTCTTTTTTGCTACTGGGGAATTATGTAATTTTTTTTTTTAAAGTGCTACAAAAGAGGCTTGAAACATTTTAGAAACTTTCTGTTATCCCACAGCTGGCACATTATTTAGGATTAGCACTACAAGTCATTCACACTGGAGTTTAAGTCTCAAATCTGTTAACCACTTAACCAATTTTGGATGAGTGACTTCCTCTTTTTAAATCTGCTTACTTTTAACATAAAGGTGGTACTTGTTTCATAGAGTTATTTTGAAGATTAGATGAGATAATGCTTCAGATGCTTAACATTATTGGTTCTTCAATAGGTGTTAAGCCCTGTCTTTGCCTTATGAAGTAGATGCCTTGGATACAGGAAATACTCATTTTTAATTAACTGAGTAATGCTTTTTAACGAAAGTGAAATGGGACCAATAAAGTTACATTTAAAAGGTTCATACAGGGGGGCTGGAGCGATAGCACAGCGGGTAGGGTGTTTGCCTTGCACGCGGCTGACCCGGGTTCGATTCCCAGCATCCCTTATGGTCCCCCGAGCACGGCCAGGAGTAATTCCTGAGTGCAGAGCCAGGAGTAACCCCTGTGCATTGCCGGGTATGACCCAAAAAGCAAAAAAAAAAAGGCTCATACAGGGCTGAAGAGATACTCTATCAGGTAGGGTGCTTGGCTTGCACGTGACTGACCATGGTTTATTCTGAGCAACCCTTTATTCCTCTCAAGTCCTGCCGGGAGCGAGCCCCAAATACAAAGCCAGGAGTTAAGCATTGGTATGATCCCCAAACCAAAATAATAATAATAACAACAACAACAAGGGAGTCATACAGTGTCTAGTGTAATTCCAGGTCCTAAATGTTTCTAAAAATACTTTGGGCCTAGGGCAGCATTGCTAGATAGGTGTGTATATATAGCCTTCATTTCCTAGCCAATTAATAATCTTTGTTTGACTTATTTTTTCAAAAGCAGTGTTATTTATAAGCATGCTTTGTGCATCTTATTTCCTGCTTGACTTAAAATTTAAGATTTGGGGACAAGAGAAATAGTACCGAGATTAAAGTTTTTGCCATGCATGGTACATGTGGTGACTCCAGCTTGATCCCCAGTGCCACATGTTCTCCCTAATATGAAGCGACATTCCCCCCCCCCCCAATCACAGAGTGGGGCATATTTCCCAAGCCCCTGCCTCCTAACCATATTAAGATCCAGTGAAATCTTACATTTCCAGAGGAGAGAAAGACTTGCAGACTACTTTCATCTAATTAGGAAAAGTCTTGTGCCATCACTAGACTTTTGGCTGCTATATTTGGGAGATAATTACCACCATCACCCCCGTTTAGTAAATTATTCTGATCTCTTTATGTTAAAAAGAATAATGGAAAAATTATTTTTTTACTCTGGCAAGAAATTTTATATATTTGAGATCATCTCATTAGATTAGTAGAATTTTTGCTAAACCCTGTTGAAACAAGACTTAAATAATATTTAATTTAATATTTATTTAGAAACTGATTATTGATGAGAAGAAGTATTACTTATTTGGGAGAAACCCTGATTTGTGTGACTTTACCATTGACCACCAGTCTTGCTCTCGGGTCCACGCTGCCTTGGTCTACCACAAGCATCTGAAGAGAGTTTTCCTAATAGATCTCAACAGTAGTAAGTAACTCACATCCCATCCTGTTTCACACATTCCCTTTCGGGCAATGTGAAAATGCTTTTTGGGTTCCTCAGTTTTTAAAGCATGTTTTACTGCTTGTCAAAGGAAGAAACTTACTTTCGGCTTTTAAGTCAACTTTTCTCCGTTCATGTAATTATCTTCTATTTATTTGAAGATATTGATTAGGGAAAGAAGAGGTATGGGGGAGCACTTTCCTAGAGAGAGCTCAGTATACAGAGATAACAGAATCGGCATCTAGTAACTAAGAATTACTGGTATTGAAATGCTTCTAGGACTGTGATGAATTGTGGCCCAATTTAAACAAAAACTGTGACTAGCTGTATTAATATAGTAGAGTGGTGGTACAGAACATACTTTTAAATACTTGTTTTGATCATAATTTGTTTTCTTAGAATGGGTTGTATAATCCCAGCTAACATTTTGCTTTGACTGCTAAGTACCAATTTTAATTCTGTGAACACACTCTGATGAAGATGCTCAACTTTGCCAAAGATAATCCATATAAATACAATTAAGATTTGACTGCCGTGGGTCCTTAAAGTTGATTTTGCCCATTTACAAATAAAAAATCTAAAGGACCTGGGCTAGTCATGTTTATATTCCTTCCCCCTCTGGCCGCTCATACACACACAGGTATATGTGTGTGTATGTATAGATATATATACACCACCACCACCACCATCTTTATCTGCTTATAGAATGGTTGCAGAGAGCTTTGTCTCATAAATACTTACTTTCAAATTTATCTCATCTTTTTTCTCCATTTCATAACATGCAGAATGCAGACATGGAAAAATATTCAGAATCTCCAGTAGGATTTTGGCTTGCCCTGACATTGATATTGCACCTGTTTCGGCCAACCTCCTTTCTGTGCAGCATAACTGTCTCCAGGCCTATGTTCCTTAGACTTGGGGCTGGAGAGGTCAGACCTCAGCAATACCTAGCTCCTGCCTTGGGGAGCGTGGCTATTGCTGGATTGGAGCCATTCCTGCTGGACCCAGATTGGAGCCAAGCCTGTCTGGCAGCAGAGAACAAGCAGTGGTATTTGTTATTTGGGGTAACGGCAGGTCTGAAGATGTATAAGAAATCCACTGAAGAGATTCAAGACTCAGAGAAAGAGTTTTCCTTTTTATTGTGACCCATGACAAGGGATGCAAAGTGGACCCAGTGCCATTTTCATTTTAAAAAGCAAAACTGATGTGCTAGGAGGAGCTGCTCTTCCTTCTACGACTCAGGTTGGTGGTTTTTGTTTTGGTTTTGGTTTTTTTTCCCTTACATTTCTGATTTGGTTATTCTCAGCACACGGCACTTTCTTGGGTCACATTCGATTGGAACCTCACAAACCTCAGCAAATCCCCATCGATTCCACGGTCTCGTTTGGCGCCTCCACAAGGGCATACACTCTGCGAGAGAAGCCTCAGACATTGCCATCGGCTGTGAAAGGAGATGAGAAGATGGGTGGAGAGGATGATGAACTCAAGGGCTTACTGGGGCTCCCAGAGGAGGAAACCGAGCTTGATGTAATTCCATGTCATTTTGTCTTTTGTGACTCTTAGTTTTGTGGTATGTAGCTTGAAATGCCATTGATTGAACAGAGTGGTTTGGCCAGTTGTATAAGGCACCTCTGAGAGTCACACTGTGTGCTTTGGTTATACATGACCGGGCTAACAAGGTGACCAGGTCTCCTGCCAGTCGGCTCTCATGATTGTCTTGTACACCTTCACTGCCTTCACTGGTGTTAGAAACCAAGTCTTGGGGTTGGGTTTTTCTCGCTTTGCACTATTCAGTAGAGTGGCCGCTAACCATGTTCTGGTTCTTGGTGATCACACATGACCAGTAACTACCATGTTCAATAGTGCAAACTAAGAATGCTTCCATATTCCAGAAAGTTGAAGTGGAGTGCACAGGCTTAGAGAGACTGCAGTTTTCGTTTATGGTTCACAGCTGTTTCCAGTTCTATTTGAACAGCCCAGGAATCTTCAGAATAGACTTAGACTGCTTTTGTCTTATGGCCCAGATGTTCTGAAAGCCATAATTTGCACAAGGTTACTGGGCATTTTGGGGTTTTTTTTGCAGTGCTAAGAATTGAACCCAGGGCCTCTCACATGGGAGGCAAGTGCTCTGCCACTGAGCAATATGCCTGGCCAGAGTTTTGTCCAAAGTTTTAAAGTGCCTTTAAAATCTGACTTTTCAAGAAGCTGACCCCCCAGTAGTGTGTGATTTGACTGTAGTCCTTCATATGTCTCGCTGCACTGGTATGACTGGTTTATTTAGATGGGTCAAATGCAAACATGCCCGTAATCACCAACAGGCATCTCCTTTGGGTGAGGAGGATGTTGCACGTGGCATTGCTCAGGGGACTGTAACCTTGGGCTACAACCCTTTGAGGCATCTCTCTGGCCCGTATTTTTGGTTGGGGAGGGGGAAAGCTGAGAACTGAACCCAGGGCCTCATATGCAAGGTAAGTGCTTTGCCACTGAGCCTACATTTATTAGGCTACATTTGCTATTCTTTACAGCTAGGTTGTTTCTTCACCCTTAGGAAAATAGAATTTAGGGTTTATTGGCTTGCAGTGGGGGAATTAAAGAAAAAAAATTTAGAAGTTATTTTGTGGAACTGGAGAGATAGTAACGGGGTTATGCATGCAAGGCTGCATGCCTTGTATTTAGCCAACCTTGGTTTGACCCCTGATTACTTCCAGGAGTGATCTCTGAGCACTGCCAGGTGTGTCCCGTAGGCCCATATTCACCCTGCAAACCCACACCTCCTCCCCATAGTTGAAGCTATTCTGTTGTACAACAGTATTGTCATAGCCAGGTACCTTACTGCTAGTTTCTTCATTTCTCTTCCAGGCAGCCTCCATGATTCCTTATTGTTTAGGTTCTGACCCTAGGTTCTTCTCTCTAGGCTTTTGGACTGTCTCAAGCTGCAGTGCAGGTTGAAATAAGTTCAGAGGATTGGAAGAGGCTGGCAGTAGAGCTGAGTCCAAGTTAATCGTTGAGATGGGTCGGTGGTTATGAATAGAAATGGGGCCAGACACCAGAATGAAAGAGTATAAAGATACTAATGCCAGATATTAAGTGTATTGGGAATGTCTTAGCAAATTTTAAGGGAAAGAGCTACTGGCGGTGGAGGTGGGGGGGAGGAAGCTGTCCATTGACTTTTCTCATAGCATCTCTGTTTTGTTACTTAAAAACAATTCTTATAATACCTCCCAGGTCACATTTTCTGTAGTTATCAGCATGAAGACATGATGGTGGTTTTTTGTTTTTTAAAGCAAAAAATACAAAGGAGCTGAGGAGATCGCTCCATGGGTTAGAGTACATGCCTGGTGTGCAGCAGACTCTGAGTTGGAAACTAGGAACCATTTTGTCCACGCATGCACTGTAAGATGTAGGTCTGGTGCACCAGTTTGAAGCACTGTTTCTAAACCCCACCCCCACCCCCAGAAAGAAAACATTAGTGATATTCGCATCAGTGATGACATGTCCTCAGTTTAAGGCCCTTTACCTTCTCATGAATATCACTTCCCTACCAGTCACTGTGTGTGTTCACTCAGTCACTCAGATAAGACACCTTAGTGTTAGCAGTCTGGGGGAAATAATCTTTTCTGAATGCAGAAGAGAATGCAGCCTTCGGAGGTCAAAGTTAGTCCCTAATACCTTGGCGTTCATTATTTTGTTATTCTAAATCCTCCTTCAAGTTATTGGTGTACTGATTGCCATCTTTCCTATATGAACCCTGGCTTAGAACCTGACAGAGTTCAACACTGCCCACAACAAGCGGATCTCCACCCTCACCATTGAGGAGGGGAATCTGGATATTCAGAGACCAAAGAGGAAGAGGAAGAACTCGAGGGTGACTTTCAGTGAGGATGATGAGATCATCAACCCAGGTGAGATAGTTTCCATAGGACTCTAAAAGCAGAACATTTTTCATTTCTTACGATGAAAAAGCTGTGGCCTCAGAGTGGTGTATAAAGCCCGTAGGTCAGTTGTAATGTTTCCTAACATGGCATAGGTACTGTATTGAGGGGAGATGCTCTCTTGTTTTTGTTTTGGAGCTCTGCTGTGCTCAGGGCTTATTCCTGGCTCTGCACTTAGGGATCACTCCTGGAGGATTCGGGGGGCTATGTGGGGTGGTAAGGTTTCAACCCGGGTTGTGCAGGGCATGCACCCTACCCGCCTGTAGAGTTGAAGTGTGAAAAAATGTACCCAGTAAATGGCTTAAAATGCTGCTTGGCAAGCATGAGTTCTGAGTTCACGGTCTTGTGGCACCTGCAAATGCTGTAGCAATCCTGACAGTCCTACTCTCAGGGACCCATGAGGAGAAAAGGTCCAGCTTAGAAAGCACCCAGGACAAGCAGATCCTCAGTGCTGCATATGCAGCAAGATGATTTGGACCACACTATGCCATGGCGTCCTCAGAGAAGAAGGAAAATAAAAATAAAGGAAGGGCCCATTTAATTCTGTGGACCAAGGCTGCAGTTCTCCCCTGCTCACCCAGCATGTCTGTTGCATAGGGATGATTTGAGTAAAGTATGGTGTTTTCTCTCTTTACCTCAAAGCAGAATATTACTGTCTAAGTGTGATTAATAAGTCTGAAGGTCAGAAAGGGGCTGGAGAGAGTGTTCAGTGGACTGGAGTGCATGATTTGCATACAGGAGGGCTTGGTTCAATCCCCAGCATCACATCACTCCTCAACACCACCACAAAGCTCATGATAGCCAGATGTGGCACAAAAACAGAACAGTTAAAAGATTGGAGACTCTTCTGCCACTTCTAATTGCCTTGACTACTTGCCTCTCTGTAGAAAGATAACTTAGAGTTTATATGGAAATGTCAGCAAGTGTATGGGTAGGCCACTGTGTTAACCAGTTCCATCATTCGACTTTCATCTGTTGGGCTGATATTTTAGGGATTACCTTAGGGTAAATACATAGGTTAAAAAAAATATATGTGGGTGATTGACATAGAGCCTGAAGGTATAATTTATACAAGGTAGAACTGGAATTTTAAAAATATTATTTGAGAGTCTGGGGAGATGGTACAGTAAGTAGGGTGCTTGTCTTGCATATGGTCAATCCAGTTTGATCCCCAGTATCCCATATGGTTTCCTGAGCACCACCAGGAGTAATGCCTGGGCACAGTGCCAGAATTAACTCCTGAGCATTGCTTGGTGTGGGCCCCCCAACCCCCAAAATAAAAATAAATAAAAATCTTACTTAAATGGATAGGGGCTGGAGCAATAGCACAGCGGGTAGGGCGTTTGCCTTGCATGCAGCCAACCTGGGTTTGATTCCCAGCATCCCATATGGTCCCCCAAGCACCGCCAGGAGTGATTCCTGAATGCAGAGCCAGGACTAACCCCTGAGCATTGACTGGGTGTGACCCAAAAAGAAAAAAAAAAATTAATGGATAGAAACAAAGATCCCTGACTGACAAGTTGCTTTTATTTCCCAAATTGAAATGCAGTGAGAATAGTTTTCAGTCCTGTCTTTAGGTTCAAAATACCAGTTTTTCTAATGGAGATCCGCTCTAGCAATAGTTCATGTGAAAGGGGAAGGGAGAAAAAAGATTGAGGGAATTTAGTTAATTGGAAATGCAGTCTGAGTCCTCAGGGAGATTTGAAAACTAATCAAGTGCAGTTTCAGATTGCATTCACCGAAAAATGCGGGACAGTAACCCCAACCAGCCTGTGCTCTGAGCAGAACTCACCCAAGAGTGTTAATCATCAAATGTGTTACATTGTCCTGAGAGAGGAGGCTTGCAGCTGTGGGAAATGACTCTGAATGCTGGGAATTTCACAACTGTGCATAAGGGAGAAAGTGGTATGGCCACAGGCTGACCTTATAGAAGAGTGGCAGAACCAGAGCCAATGAGTAGGAGGTATGAGTTCAGCAGAAAAGCAACAGTGAAGCCAGGGGTGTAGGTTAGCAGCAGCGCACTTGCCTTGCATGTGTGCGGCCCTGGGTTTGATCCCGTGCCTGTACACTACAAAGCAACAACAAACACCTGGCTTTTGTTTAGAAGAATTTAAAGGATTTCTGTGAGGTGGGGCAAAACAAGCGTATGCCAGGTAAGGCCCTTGCCTTGCACATGGCCAACCTGGATTCAATCCCCAGTACCCTAATGGATCTCCTGAGCCTCATCAGAATTGATCCTGAGCCTGGACCCATGAGTCAGTCCTGAGCACAGCCACGTGTGGGGTGCCCCCCCCCCAAAAAGAAAATGGGGACCAGAGAGATGGCACAGCAGGTAGAGTGCTTGCCTTACACACAGCCAACCTGCGTTCCCCAGAATCCCATATGGTTCTCCCAAGCCCACCAGGAGAGATCCCTGAGCGCAAAGCCAGAAGTGAGCACAGCTGAGTGTGGCCCACTTTTTTTAAGGAGCTCTGTCCGGAAATTTGTAGTGTTTAAAAAGCTCATGTTTGTACTGGTTAATAGAAATTGGGAACCCCTAGATTAGGGAGTTATGATATTTGCTGTTATTGAAAATTACTGCCCAGCAGCCAGAGAGATCACCCAGGGATTAAGGCATTTCCCTTGCACTTTGCTGTCCCCAATACCACCTGGTGCCCTAACACTGCTGGAAGCAAGCACAGAAAAAGCACCCAAGAGTTGCCAGGTGTCACACACGCATGCACACCCCTCAAAATTACTGTTCTGAGCTTTGTTAAGGCATTCTATTTAGATAGAATTCCTTTTCTCTCTCTCTTTCTCTCTCTCTCTCTCTCTCTCTCTCTTTTATTTTTGGGTCACACCGGCAATGCTCCTGGTTCTGCACTCAGGAGTTACTCCTGGCGATGCTGAGGAGTAATATGGAATTCTGGGGATTGAACACAGGTCAGCTGTGTGCAAGGCAAACACCCTCCCCGCTGCACTGTCCCTCTGGCCCCCAGTTAGAATATCATGTGGCTGAGCATGATGGCCTAGGTTTGAAATCCACCTCTTCTCTTAGTGACTGTTCAATCACTTTACCAGGTAATTAACAGATAATCAGGCCTCTCAGGATTAGTGAGGAAATACAGTAAATTCAATAAATTTCTTGTAAATGTCAGTCTCAATCACCATCATATTGACCATCCAATTTCCCTTTCCCCATTCAACCTTTCTTCCACCAGAAGTGGTATTAGCAAGGAACTTGAAACACAAGCCAGGAAAGAGTATACCTGGAAAGACTATCTCCTCTCACTGAGAGAGAATTGCTTGAGAAAATGAAGAGGGAAGTGAGTGGTTTGGTCTACTTCTGGCCAGCATCAGACAGATTCCCTGGGGCTCAGCGCCTCGCTCCACCCACAGGCCTGTTGTACTTTGTCCTCATGTGCAACTTCTCTTGGGTTCTAATTACTCTTGTGTTTTATTTAGCATTCCTTGCTGAAAGTGTGATTGAAATAGGGCTCCTTTGGGGATGAGAGAAAAGATGGGATCTTTTATAGAGCCCTTTTCTACTTCCTAAAGAGATTTCTTTTTCACTTCATTCATATAGAATTTATTCATTCTTTTATCCAGAAAGAACATTCGTTGAAAAAAACATTATTTGGAACTGGTAATGCTAGAGTATATTCCTTAGAGGTATCCTTAAGTCCATGGAATGCCAGACTTAATGCAAGTACAAATACTGTACAGAGAGATTTCTTTGTTTCCCAGCAGAATTCATGGCAGTGGTTCTTTCATGTTTGTTTTGGTTTGGGGGCCACTCCTGCTGGTGTTCAGGGGAGCATGCAGTGCTCAGGATAAAAACACACTCACCCCTCCACCCCCGCCTTCTGTATTCAGAGCTGTGCACTAGATCTTTAAGCTACTTCCCTGGTTCATAACAATGATTTTATTTGTTTTGGTTTAGGGGCCACACCCAGCTGTGCTCAGGTCTTACTCCTGGCTCTGTGCTCAGGGCACTCCTGGGAGCCTCTCAGGACCATATGTGGTAATAGGGATTGCACCCAGGTTGACCACTTGTGAGGCAAGCGCTCTACTCGCTGTACTATCTCTCCAGCTCTATAACAGTAATTTTTTAAATCCTTTATGGATTAAAAATAAGATGTATCATGTCACTTAGGGAAGCAGTTACTTATCCTTGTATTAAGATAAGAGATACATACTAGGGGTCATTTTTTCTGAATCTGGACTTTTCTGTTTTCATATACTCAGTCTTCAGGAAAACTGTTTGTGGGCTAGAGAGATAGTATAGAGGTTGCCTTACATTCAGCCAACCATGGTTTGATACCCAGCCCCTCATACTCCCCTAGCACCACCTGAAGTGAACCCCGAGGCTGGAGCAATAGCACAGTGGATAGGGTGTTTGCTTTGCATGCGGCCGACCCGGGTTCTATTCCCAGCATGCCATATGGCCCCACGAGTACCTCCAGGAGTAATTCCTGAGTGCATGAGCCAGGTGTAACCCCTGTGCATCACTGGGTGTGACCCCCAAAAGCAAAATTATTGAATGAAGTGAACCCTAAGCACAGAGCCATGAGTAGCACCTAAGTACCACTGATTGGCCTATTCCCCAGCCCACCCTCAACACACCACCACCAAAAACGTATCTTAGATGCCCAGCCCGTCTAAAGCCTGTTGTGCTCCAGGAACGCTTTTGTGCTTCTCTTTTCCCCCACCTTCTTTTTTTTGTTTGTTTTTTGTTGTTGTTTTTCTTTTTGGGTCACACCCAGCAATGCCCAGGGGTTACTCCTGGCTCTGCACTCAAGAATTACTCCTGGAGGTGCTTGGGGACCATATTGGATCGAACTGAGGTCGGCCACGTGCAAGGCAAACACCCTACCCGTTGTACTGTCACTCCAGCCCCTTTTCGTTTCTCCTGAAGAACCTTCATTGTATAACCTGGTTGGCTTTACAACTCCTTAGAGGCAAGAGACAAGGCAGTGTCTTGCTCTTTATTTCTATAATATTTATGTCTAATGTCTGATAAATGAGTCACTTGTAGATGACTGCAAGCATTTCCCTTACTTGGTCTTAGTGCTTTGTCTGTGTGTGTGCTTGGTTGTATACAGTTGTTCAGATCGAGAGATCATGTTAAGTTTGAAGCTCCGGGTCTGAATCTTAATATTGCTCTTTGCTAATTTAGTAGGGTATGTGGGTATGCAACATATCACACTGCTTTATCACTACGTAGAATGGATAATCTCTAATGCGGGGGCAGCCTGGGGAAGGTGGTACAGCAATCCAGAGCACAGTGCTCAGACTCAAAGTCTGTTTCTTCTCCAAAGTGACAGGACAAGTCTCTTCACTGTTCTGGACATGCTTCCTGTACAGTTAAATGTCTATTCTCGTAATACCAACCCCTTCAGATTGTTGGGAGTGTTCCCCACAGTGCTACCTATAGTTTACTGTTTTGTGTGAGCTTGTAATTGCTCAGTTCACAGTGAGTCGTGATCAGTAATTTCTCCCGTAGAGTGCCAGCCTAACCTTTCCATCATCTTTTTTTTTTTTCAGAGGATGTGGATCCCTCAGTTGGTCGCTTCCGAAATATGGTGCAGACTGCAGTGGTCCCTGTCAAGGTAGGAAGGATATTGTAACCGTATTTGATATACAGACTGAAGACTGGGTTGTTTTGTTGTTGTTTTTAATTGCTCTTAGGTGAACAATAGTACAGCAAGGTAGGGCTCTCATCTTGCATGTAATGGGTTTGATCCCCAGCACTCCATATGATCCTTTAAGCCCCACCCGGAGTAAGCCCTGAGTGCCGCTGGGTGTGGCCCCCCCCAAAAAAAATACGAAACCGCGGGGCTGGAGTGATAGTACAGCAGGTAGGGCGTTTGCCTGGCATGCAGTCAACCCAGGTTTGATTCCCAGCATACCCATATGGTCCCCTGTATACCACCAGGAGTAATTCCTGAGTGCAAAGCCAGGAGTAAACCCCTGTGTATTGCCAGGAGTGACCCAAAAAGTAAAGAAGAAGCAAACAAAGCTGCTCTTGGGCCGGAGCAGTGACTCACTGGGCTGAAGTACACGGTTTTGTATAAAGGAGATTCACATTTGTGCCCCAGTACTGCAGGATCTGCTGAGCAGAGTCAGTAGTAGCCCCTAATAGTGCAGCCCCAAAACGAAACAGATTGGTTTTGGTTTTGTTTTTAATTAAAAAGTGACCTGCTCTTTTATGTATAAGTCATAAGTGTGTAAGAAAAATATTGGCTTCTCTCTCATTTTGTATCCTCTGTAAATACTTTTACCCACCTCTAGGGAATCTCAGGGTATCATAGAAAGGCCACAGATTACCTCCCAATTCGATGCTTTGTATAAGCTATTTCGTGATATGTCTGTTAGTTTCCAGCATAATGCAAAAAGGCCCCACCTTTCTTTAATCTCTCTCCCCTCTGCACTCCTGGCAGGGCTCAGGGGAACATATGTGGTGCTAAGGATTGAACACATGCAAAGCAAACACCTTGACCACTATATTCACACCTCAGGATAACCTTACTTATCCTTGTGACTCCAAGTAAGCTACTCTGCGGTGGAGTGCTGGTTAGATTTTGGCATAGCTCCTCTGCCTTCTGCCATGGTACAGGGAGAAAAGCCAGTCTGGATTTGGATTAAGTTTAGAAATCAGATGTTGAAGTACCAAGTAGTGGATCTTAGAGGTATTTTCTGATTGTTCACCATGTTGCATACTCCCTGATTGCTTGGTCTATACAAGAGACCACTGGGGCCAGAGAGGTAGTATAGAGATAAAGTGCTTGCTTGCATGGGATCAGTTTGGGTTTCCCCAGCACCTCATGTGTCCCCTGACCATCACCAGGAATGATCCCTGAGCACAGCCAGGTAAGTCCCAAACTGCCGCCCCCCCCCCCCCAAAAAAAAATAAAACCTTGAGATAGTGCTGCCTGCCTCCCTGTCTCCCTCCTTGTCTTTTGGGCCACACCCAGTGATGCTCAGGGTCCACACTCCTGGTGTGCTTGGGGGACCATATGCAGTGCTAGGGATCAATCTCAGGTCAACTGCTTAACAAGGCAGGCATCTTACCCACTTACTATTATTTTGTCCCAAAATGCATAATTTCTTTTATTGGATTTGTGCAGTTCAGTGACCACTAAAGACATGGGTCAAAGGGCTGGAGCATCTGCTTTATATTTGAGAGCCCTCAGGTTCAGTCTCTGACACCAAACCCCAATAAAAGGACCAACTAGAGTGCCTACTTTGCACACAGGAAACCTGAGTTTGCTCCTGCCATGGTATGTCCTCCAGAGCACTGCCAGGAGCAAACCCAGGCTTCCTTTGTGCACCAGGTAGCCCCATGAGATCTGGGTGTGGTAATAAAAAGGTTATAGTTAATTGGTTGAATATAGCCATTTTCCTGGGGGTGCTGGAGTGATGACTCAAAACCACCACAGGCACCACCAGGAGTAGCTCCAACGTTTCTGTCTCCCCAGAAGGTTCCTTCATATTCTTGCCTAGCCCCGCGCCACCAGTACACTACTTATCACCTACTTCCTGTAGATTTATTTTGCTCTGAATAGTAGTGTTTTTGTTTGTTTAGTTAGTATTTCATTTTATTTTTTGTGGTTGGCTTTATTTTTGTTTTTGTGCCACACTCAGTGACCACTCTGGTGGGACTTGGGGGACCATATTTAGTGCCAGGGATCGAACAAAGGTCAGGGACGTACAAAGCGAACACAGGAGTTAGGGTGCTTATCTTGCATGTAACCAATCCAGGTTGATCTGGCACTTTCTATGGTTCCCCAAGCATGGCTGTGTTACTGCTGAGCACGAAGACAGTAGTTAAGCCCTAATCTCCACTGGGTGTGACTCAAAAACAAAAATAAAAGAGAGCCAGGGATGGACAGAGAAAATGGGATAAAATGCTTCTTTGCATGCAACTGACCCCAGTTAGATCCCCGAGACTCATAAGGTCCCCTTAGAGTGCTTGGAAACGATTTCCAAACATGGCTGGATATGGCCCAAATACCAAAAAAAAAAAAAAAGAGATGTGAATACTATCTACCATGCGTTGTTATCTTTATCTCCTAATAAAAATAAACTAAATAAGCTTTACTTTGTGAAAACTGAAGCTCACAGCACTGTCCTCATTTTTTTTGATGCAATGGGAAACAGTTATGTGGAGCGGTGTTTGGCACGCTTCATGGTAGACAGCTACTTAGAGGGTTACTTCACCACTGACATTTTAGGACAGCAAAATAGATTGTCTAGGAAGTGAATCAAGCTAGAGGTTCCCCGATATTTTCTAGGTCTAGCATAGAAAAGGCTGGTGCTGCTTACTCTTGTGCCTCACCTCTTGTCTCCTCCTTGTTGACCACAGAAGAAGCGAGTGGACGGCCCTGGCTCCCTGGGCCTGGAAGAAACGGGGAGCAGGCGCATGCAGAACTTTGCATTCAGTGGAGGACTCTACGGGGGCCTGCCTCCCACACACAGTGAAGCCGGCTCCCAGCCGCACGGCATCCATGGGACAGCGCTCATTGGTGGCTTGCCCATGCCATACCCCAACCTTGCCCCTGACGTGGACTTGACTCCCGTCGTGCCATCAGCAGTAACCATGAACCCTGCACCCAACCCCGCCGTCTACAACCCGGAAGCTGTCAACGAACCCAAGAAGAAGAAATATGCAAAAGAGGCTTGGCCGGGCAAGAAGCCGACACCTTCCTTACTGATTTGATATTTTTGTTCATGGAGAAGGGTGGGGTGGGGTGGGAACGGGGTGGAAGGGTGATGGGGGAGCTAATGAACTTAGGGAGAAAAACTTTCCATGTGTGCAGTATTGTCTTTCAGAATGTCTCCTGGGGTCCTAACCATGTAATATTAAAACTGGGGGTGGGGTTGAGATATCCCGTGAAGACCTGTCTTCAGAACACTTTCAGTGTCAAGAAATGTTTCCTGTAGCTTTGAAATCCACTGCCCTGGCTCTTCCCCAGACCTCCTGTTACCTCCCCTTTTTCCCCTCCTTCCTAGCATCATTTAAAGTCATGTACCCTGAGGAGAGACTCCAGGCCCTGAGGCTGAAGTCCACGCTGTGACAGGAGCATCATCGGTCTAATTGATACTTACTCTCCCTGCAAGTTCAGGTAGCAGAAGGGTTGCCGTGACTTGATCAAAAAGTGGGTTTAGAATTCTCCAGTTAAGCTAAGATTTAAAACTCAAAAGCGTTTTCCTGGATCAGTGGTTTTGGGGTCCAATAGTTAGGCTGTTCTCTTTTGTCCTTTCTGTTGGAGTGAGAACACTTTGGTTTTCCTTCTTCTGTGACCAGAGCCCTGGATACAGGTTGATGGTTTTGAACTTGTTTGAACTTTACCTGTTTTTCTTGTCAAATCTAAGTACTCTACTTGCCAAGGTTCTTATTTGATTCCAGAGTACAGAGTACTGTCCTCTATTCTCCAAGGCATTATTTTCCTTTTCAAGTGTGCTGTGAAGGCAGTTTATTTTAAGGATAGGACCAGTTAGAGCAATTTTAATTAAAAAGGGAAAATTTTTCACTCTGCAAGTGACTGATGTCTCTGAGAGGATGCTTTTAGATGTGGTGTAGAGGTTCTTTCCCCCTCAACGTGGAGCTCTATCCAGAGCTCTGGGAGTACACCTGGCTAACAAACGCAGGAGACCAAGGTAGGAAACATCGTGAAATCTGTACAGAGATTTGTACATTTGTGTAATAGGCCTTTTCAAGCTTTATGTGTAGCTTTTTACCTGTAACCTTTATTACATTGTAAATTAAACGTAACTTTTGTCATTTGGGTGAGTCTCATTCAGTCTCCATCCAAGTGTTCTGTCTCAAGTACTGCAGTACTGCTGTTGGGCTTGGGAGGCAATTCTGTCCCCATTTCACTACCACAAATAATCATGCCCCTGATGAATGAGGAAATTCTAATTAGAGATTTCAGTCCCCTGACTAAAGCGCCTCACAAGCGAAGTGGGTTAAGAGGTGTCAGTTGCCCTTCATCAGGAACAGAACCGTGGACCTAAAAAAGGGAGCCTAGCTTAGAGCATTTGTCTGGGGGTGCATGTGAGTTAAGTCTGGTTCCCCAGTTACAGCCGCCTGCATTTGCACTCAGAGCTCAGGTGGCCTAGAAGCAAACTAGTAAATTCAGAAGGAATTGCAGCCCGTTCGGACAGAATGGCCATGTCTTTCACTAGGTAGGCGCACTTCGTGCGAAACTTGTAAAGATGTGGCTTTCTGACAGCAGTGATGCCAGCTGGGTTCCAAATCCCTCGAGTTCAAAGTAGGGTAGGAAGAGCCAACTGAAGGACAGATAGCAACTCACAGCTATCTGAATGGGAAACCATCCTCTGGTCCTTTGTTTGCTTGTTGTTTAGCCAAACCCAGTGGTGCTCAGGCCTTAATCCTTATAATGCACTCTGGGATCACTCCTGGCAGGGCTCTTGGGAGACCGTATGCGATGCCGGGAATCAAACCCAGGCTGACATGGAGGATGAGCGCTCCACCCATTACCATCGCTCGAGTCCTCATATCCTGTGGTCTGAGCAAAGGTTACTCGTTGCTGCGTTGATAACTCATTGAGCTGTTAGTTCACACCAACCCTTTACTGCATGTCATTTCCAGAGCCCTAAGAGAGTCACTTTTTATCCTTGTTTTAGAGAAGAATAAAGTCTCTAGATAGTTCCCTATTATCTTGAATTCAGGATTGAAATGACTGAATTCACAGCATGCACATTCCTTGAAGGAGCTTAAGATTTAAGCGTCGGGTTTCTCAAGCACTGCCAGGAGCAACCCCCAGCCATCAGTAAGTGTGGCTCAAAAAAAAAAAAACAACAACATTAAAATTGAAGTTACAGATTGTAGAGAGAGTACAGCAGGATAGGGCACTTGCCTAGGATACAGCCGACCCAGGTTCTATCCCTAGCATCCCATATGCTTCCCTAAGCATCATCACCAGGTATACCCTCCCCCCCCAAAATCTTTCGAAGTTAATGGATAAATCTAAGGCCTGAATTCTGATTATCTCTAGGATGAGTTGGGGTAAAGGATGTGCTCTGACTGTGTGGCATCCCACTGTGCCCAGCAGGCCGTAGCTGGTTTTATTGGTAACCTAGATGGTGTGGGGTTTGGGGTTGTTTTGTTTTTTTGTTTTGTTTTTGCTTTTGACCACACCCAGTGGTGCTCAGGGTTTATTCCTGCTCTGCGCTCAAGGATCATTCCTGCCAGGCTTGGGAGACCATATGGAATGCTGGGGATTGAACCTGGGTCAGCCATGTTCAAGGCACACGCCCTTCCTCCCTTCTAGGTGTTTATTTGGAAGTGAAAATTTCCCAAACTAGATTTGTGGCTCAAGTGGAGTATACGCCTTTCATGTCCCGACCTGTCTCGGTCCCCAGCACTGCAAGACCCACTAAGCATGACTAGTTTGTAGCCATGGTGCTCCCTGAGCAGCTTTGGACCCAAGCAGGTACCACCAGGAGTGTCTCCCATAACACTGGGAGCCACATCCAACAGTGCTCATGGATTACTCTTGGCTCTGTGCTCAGGGATCACTCCAGGTAGAATCGGGGGACCATATGAGGGGCTGGATATCAAATCTGAGTCAGTTTTATGCAAGGCAGATGCCCTACCTGCTGCATTATCACTGACCCACATGTTTTGTTAAAAATCGTTTCCAAGGGATAGAAAGGGCAGTGGGTAAGGTGCTTACTTGGCACACAGTTCATTTCAGTTTGAATCCTGGGACTCCCGTTATGGTCCCTGAGCATCACCAGAAGTGACTCTTGAGTGCAAAATGAGGAGTAGGTCCTGAGCACTGCCATGTGTAGCTCAAAAACAAAATGTTTCCAGGACTCAGCTTGGTGGCTAGGGGTACATGTTTTGCATACACTGGGTCCTGAGTTTAAATTCTGGTACCACATGACATGGTATCTATCAGGTGTGATCCAGAAGGGCCCCAAACACTGCAGCTCCTCATCGCCCAGCCCTAGTTAATCTGCCTGCCCTGGTTAGCTGAGTATCACCAGGAGTAACCCTGAGGTCCCCCGAGCACTGCTTGGTGGGCAAAAGCCTCTTTTTCCCCCAAACTGGATGACTTATTGGGATATGTAGATACATGTTTGGAGGTCACACTGTCAGTGCTCAGGGGTTGCTTTCAGTTATGTTCTGGGGACTATGTGGCACCAGGGGTTAAACCTGGGCTTTCACATGCCAAGCCTGTACTCCTGCCCTTTGAACTATCTCCCCAGCTCCCCACCTCCCCCCACCCCACATGCACACTTGATGCCAAGGATAGAATTCAGCTGTTCACAAATGCTCTACTGCCCTGCCCCGTTGGTAGGTATTTTAAAGGATTTAGGTCTACACTAGATAATAAAATCCTGATGAGAGATTCTATCAGCCATTACTGATTTCAGAATTTGAGTGGCAAGAGTGAACGGTCTCAGAAAACCCAGCAATGTCCAGACCTCTAAGGAGCCATCTAAGACCCAGCTGACTTTGGGGGCTGGAGTGATAGCACAGTGGGTAGGGTGTTTGCCTTGCACGCAGCCAACCCGGGTTCGATCCCCAGCATCCCATATGGTTCCCCCAAGCACAGCCAAGAGTAATTGCTGAGTGCAGAGCCAGGAGCAACCCCTGGGCATCGCTGGGTGTGACCCCAAAAAAATGAATTGGCTTCTTAAAAAAAAAAAAGACCCAGCTGACTTCAACCGAAGCAGGACTCAGTGAGTTCAGTTGTAGTTTCATGTGAGGGTGTTTGTGAGAATGTGAATCTGACTCACCAGGCCCATACTCCTGACTTACTCAACCAACCCCTTAAGGATGAGCACTGCAGTGCTGAGGAGATGATGCAATGGGCTGGAGCATCTGCTTTGCGTGCAGGAGCTCTGGATTCCATCTCAGGCACCTACAGGGAGCAAGTCCCAAACCAGGAGAAGCCCTTGAGCACTGCTGGGGTAACTCCAAATAATACTAGAGCCAGAGCGATAGTCTGCACTAGGCTAACCGTGCTTGCTCCATGGTACCACCGATGGTCCCCCAAGCACTGCCGTGTGTCCCATCCCTGAGCACAGAGCCAGGAGTAAGCCCTGTGCAACACTGGATGTGGTCCAAAACCCAAAGTATGGAGTAAGGAAGGGGGGGGCAGGGTCTCAGTTTTCTTCTCCGGCCCCCAGAGTCAGCTATTGCAAATGGCCATGAGTAGTAAGCCCCTCCTTGAGAATTGATCTTTACTCCTTGAATGAAGACAGTGTTGCTGGGGCACAGCCTCTCCATTCTAGGACACTGGCCCATACTGGATGGGAAGTGATGGGGAAGGGAGAGTAAGACTCATTGATGAGAGCTGTCCTTTCCCCTGGTGATCCTGGTTTGAACAACTATTCAGTAGTCGCTTGCCTAAAAATTTGCCATTTGGTGCAGATCACAGATTTTTAGAGTCGTAAGGGCTTGGGAGGACTTGTTCTGGATCAGTCTGCAAACCATGGCACTGGGGACTGTGGGTAGGGAAGGTAGAGAAGTGTTCAAGAGGGAAGCTTGGGGCCGGAGAGACAGTACAGAGAGCGGGGTCATCCAGGTCCCATACCAGCCCCACACATGGACCCCTGAGCCCTGAAGGAGAGATCCTCGAGTACAGAGCCAGGAGAAAGCCCTGAGCACCACCAGGTGTGGCCCTCAAACAGAAAAACAAAAACAAAAATAAAGGTAGGGCATGGACCAAATGAGGAAATAATAGACAAGAAAGATTCTGTAGACCTGGCAGACTTCTAGAAAGATGCTTTTTGAGCTGAGCATTGAAGAACAAGCAGGAATTTGCCTCATCAAGAGTGAACCATGGGGGTATGGTGCTGCCAGCAGGTCAATCTGTACCTGTGAGGCGAGTGCATCAGCAGCCTCATGGCACCTTCAGACTTCAGATACCCCAAAATGGCTGCTTTGCCTTTGGCCAGACCCCAAAACCTTGAGGCAAAGTTTACCAAGAAAGTAAATGGCCAAAAGTTAGGTATGTGGGAGACACACCCACAGACCACCTCTGGCTCATCTATATAATTGGAGGCATGGCCCCTCTGGTTCCTGAGTGAATTGCTTAACGGCCATGATCCCAGAGTTTCAGAAACAAATCTCGAAACCCAACGGCTTTTGGCAGAAATGCGTGTAGGCCACGCAGTAGGTTACCGGCTCTGGGCCACCCTAGGTGGAAATAGGTTTTGTGCCTTGGCTTGCTCCCCCTTGGCGGCTCGGTGGCCGCCATCCGCCAGAGACCATTCGACAGTCAGGTTTGGGCCTGCAGTGACGAGACACATAGGGCCTCATGGGATGGGGGTGGAGCCGACCCTTTCCTCCCCACCCCAATGAGACCACAAGTGGCTGCCCACGAACGGCCTCTCTGGCTCCTGATCAAGCTGCTTAATGGCCAGGATTCCAGAGACTCAGGAACAGATCTCGGAACCTAGCAGGTTTTGGCAGGAAATCTCTCCAGATTTAATTGTTAAAATTTCAGAATTTCAAAATTGCGCAGCCACTACTGCAACCTCATGACATCATATATTATTCATGACCAGCAATAGAAAACAAATTGTCTACTGTTGCCTTTTCAGCAGATCTGAGTGTTGGGGTAAAATCCCAAATAATAACGGTGGGTGTGGTGTCGAAATGTTGAATGTGATCAAAGTATAGAGAGAGTGATTTGGAAATCATCTGCCCCACAGGTAGGGGGAGGGTGTGGGATGGGAGTACACTGGGGTTTTTGGAGAATGGACACTGGTGAAGGTAAGTTTCATTGTGTGAGAGACTTAAA